GGGGGGGGGGTGTCATCCCTCTTGGTTAAGAAGGAATTATAATTGCTCTATGTCACGTAAAACGTCTACAGCGTGTGTGGCCAGCAGGAGGCCAGCTTGACAAATTGGCTTTCAGGTGGGCAGACTGCCGCCTGGGGTGGAGCGCTTCCAAACCAGCTTGTTTTTCTTATTTCTTCGTGCCTCGTTCGTCGCTGGCTGTTGGCAGCACCGAGCTCTGCTGCTGGCGGTCAGGCCAAACGCCAAGTTTGCCATGAGCCTCTCTCAGCAGCTCGGCTCGGTGGGGTAGTTTCAGCGAGGCCATGCAAACCTGCAGAGGACATCACGGATCTTTTTTCTTGGCTCACGTGTTGGCATTGTTTTACCATAGGAACATGGGAGGAAAGCACCAGGTCTGGTTACAGATAAGAGAACAAAACAGGACAAGGGGAGAGATGCAGTTACACTTGCCAAAGTCACTGTAACCCGAAAATTGGAATCCAAAGCGAGCCAGTGGGCCAGGCAGTTTATTTCAGCTTGTTCACAGAGGGAAAGCTGTTACACGTGGCTTCAGTGTATTCCAACCTGCGCCTGGATTCTGATTTCTTTTCCTAATTGTCCCGCTGTTGCTTCCCCTCCATTTCGACATCTGTCCCTGGCACTGCAAGTAGAGGGGGTCCCCAGTAAGGTGGAGGTCCTTTGGTGCGTCCCGGGGCTGGCAATTACAGAGCCAGGGCTTATAAGAAGGCCCACTGAGCAGTTTCTCCAGAGGGTTGGTGCATCCCACACCCTCTCGTGAGGATAATTTCTAGCAACAACCAAAGAGCAAGAGTAAAGGACTCTTAATCCATTTACTTCCCAAACTTATCCTGAGCAGGAACTGGACAGAAATGGAGAAGAAAATGATTAAAAGGTAATTGGTTAGTGTGTCATACAACTATGGAGAAATAAAATCTATTTCATAGTCTCGAGGCACATAGGGCTTGGGCTTTGAAATTAGATTTATCTAGAGACTCTTCCTTCCCCTCCTATACTATCTCACGACCCCGCGTCCTTTATAAGACTTATCTCAATCTGTAGTTTTTGTTTAATGTCTGTCTCCCCCACCAGAACATGAGCTCCAAAAAGGGAGAAGCCTTCCATGTCCGTCCTGTTTTTTTTGCAAGGCCGAGCATAACACCTAACACACAGTGGTCATTCAGTAAATGTTTGTTGACTACATCTCTCCACAAACTCAATTGTACAATAAACAGTACACTCTGAAGTCCTAAAATGTTATCTTAACCAGGATTGGAGCCTTTCCCCTCCTACGGTGGCATCAGATTCTAGGGGCTTAGATAGGGGTTATTTGAAATACCTTTGTTTTGAAAGTTTCATCCCATAGCATAGCAAACATAGTAATATGGAGCCCATTCCATATACTTTTGAAAGAATTTTTGTGACTTTCGTACATTCTGAATTTTATCATAAATAAATCACTAATGTGGTTCTTAAGGTTTAAACAATATTATTATTTAATAGGTTACAGTTGACACAAAGTTACATTTTATAGATGTTTAAACATTTATTAATTTTGAATAATTTTGCCACCTCTTCACATTTTAGAACCAAAACTTTTTTAAGTTCTAATATATTTTCATAGGCTCTTAGAGAGCTTGCAATCGCAGTGAGCGCTCCACCTTTCCTCCAGCTGTGCCCGTGGCGCCTGATGCGCAGAACAGCTCTGAGCCCATCTGATGTTCAGAAAGCAAGGGAATGGGCGTTCAGTTCCAGGCTGTCCCGGTGGCTGCTGACCCCTTCCTAGTCCAAGTTAGAAACAGACTCTCTGTTCTTCCATGTCATTTAGAAAGGAATGAAAACCTTTGCCGAGGCTGGGAAGGCTGGTGCTTAGAGTCCTACTTGCCTCGGGGCACCATGCAGCCACCTTCTAGGATGTCTTGTCACCTGCTTGGGGCACTATCACAGTGTAGCTCCTGGGGCCCACAGGCCTCTCGCCCCTGAGTCCAGTGAGCTCTTCACCTTATCTCTTCTTGCCCTTAACACTTTCCTCCCTCCCTTTCCCTCTCTGGGGCACCTCCTGATATCTTTTGGACTTTTCAAAAGGCGGGAGAAACCATGGACTTCAGCCTACTTCTGCTTTCTGCACGGCAAAAATTATGGATGACGAAAGCACAGAATGTCCCGACTACCTGCTTTGGGGGAGTTATTCATATTACCAAAATCTACCCTTCCACAGAGGAATGGATTCACAACCCGTCTCTGCACGTTACTAGTTCTGTGATGTTGGACACGTAAACTAACCTCTCAGGGCCCTGTTTCCTTGCCTGTAACGTGGGGACAGTAATACCTACCTCTGGGGATCGTTGGGAAGATTTAATTAAGAGGATGGTATAGCTAAAGTGCGAGGCACCATGGCTGGGACATATCAGAAGCACGTAAATGTCAGTTCTCGTGCTGTGTTTGCGTTTCCAACAGACAGAGGTTCAACTGTGCCCATAGAGCCCATTATTGCTGCAGCCGTTGTGGTCTTTCTGACGCTGTGCTTCGGACTGGTTGCCAGAAGACAAAGAATAATGAAGGTATCTAAGTGTTCTAAGCTATTAGGTAAAAAAGTCATCTAAATAAAGACCAAGAACCAGCTACATGAGTGACTAGCGCTGGGAGCCATCCTCGGACGATCTCTACCATGTGGTCCAAAATGGAAGTTGCTTAAGGGGATAAAAATCGATGGTATATTGTGAGTACAGATTTACAAAGAATGGAGGGGCATATGGACAAGAACTGAATGAAAATTGCTATAGTGTTCGGGGTAGGGGATTTGGGGCTGATTTTCCTTCCTTTTAAATTTCCCTTTATTGTTGTGGTGGTGCCTTCAGTTCAATAAATAAATAGAGAGAGGAGCATCTGCTCTGGATTCACGGATCTGCATGGGAAGGAAGGCACTTGCTGCTGACCTTTTGAGTGCACCCCCGTGGCCCCCGGCTATGGTGGGCTGGAATTGGAATTGCTGAATGGGTAATCTTGCTGGTTAGCATGGTGCAGAGCATGTATGTGCATAGGTTAGTGCCAGGCATTTGACTCCAGGGTTAATCCAGCGCCAAAGGGAGGCAAATATGGCAGAAAGCCTCTCAAGAAAGGTGAGTGTGGCCTAGGCTGAGGTCCTTATCCAGCAAAAGCCGTTCTTCCTGAAACATATGGTAACTGGATATTATTTAGGGCAACACTCTCTCCCAAGAAGAAATTCACCCACCCCCTGTTCCAATCCAAAGCAAATTTTTTTCTCCAAAAAAAATATTTTTTAAATCACCACAGAACAAAGCAAGAAATATGCAACTACGTATGAATCCTGGAAGCATTTTGAATTAAGAATTACATCTTCTCTACGTTTAATAAAAATAATTAATGTAGCCAAAGAACAAAGGCCTGGGCCAGTACGGAGGTGGCTATGTACTCTAGCCACCTCTGTGTTGGTGTGTAGTTTGGTAGGTCAGAGATGATCAGACATTTGGGTTTCCTGTTCCTTGAGCCACCTCGATGCATTTAAAATGTTGATTAACGGGCCTTTAAAAAGCCAGAAAACTCATTGCCTTTGTTATGTTTGCCTTTAGCTGTGCGTAAAAGGTGAAGATCCTCAGAGAGAAACAGCTCTGTAAGTACTCTGGGCCGGATGACCTGCCGTAAGCAGCATCCTAGAGCCCATCCCGGGCAAACTCCCCCTGCGATGGGAGGTGCTGGGACGGGAAGGGGTTCAGCGGGTAGAGGGTGGGGAGAATCTGCCTCCTCTTTAGAGTAAGGCAGACGGGTGAGGCCGTTTGGAAGGTCGCCGAGAACTGAGGCTATCTTTGGTCTTAAGCCTACTCTCTCTTTAAACAACGTTGGGCTAATGCTTGTGCAACTGCATTTTATGGCCCCACGGAGGGTAAATGACTGAGGGGCTTCCCCGAGGGGAGGCCGCTGCTGTGTTTTTCTTCCCGACAAAGTCAGAAGCCGGAGCCCTCATCCTACGTCCTGCCTCCTCTTGGGAGCCTTCTTTGTTCTCTTGGCTCCAGCGTGTGTAAAGCGGGCAGTGGGCAAAAAAGAACAAAGGCATTCTTTCCAAAAGTATGAATTTAATTTTGAATGTTTTTCTTATTGTTACGACCGTCGTTATAATTCATTTCTTGGTTCATTTCAGATGAGGAGGCTGAGATGCCGGCTAATACAGCGAGAAGGGTGCAACAGGACCTCCTTGATTTATGTAGTCCCGTCTGTATTTATTGCTATTATTAAATCCACTCCTGTCAGATTGTCAGAGGTTACGAAGAAGTGTTTCATTAAGCACTAAACAGTAGTTGTTATGACTAATTTGATATCCTTCTTGGGGAACATTTTTAGGGAGAAAAACTGTTCAGAATGAAAAGTAAGATTTTATGTCCTCCCCTCGAAGAAGGGTATGTTCATTGAAATTTGTTCCGAAAAGGTAGGTAAACCATTTACCATTTAGAATATATTCTTCTGGGTAGGAGATTAGCAGAGCTTTGGGTTTCACGAATCAGTGCAACACCACCCCAAAAAAGTTATGGGGCAACTCAGAGTGATCCATTTTTTAAGTAGCCAAGGAAGCCTGTAAAAAGATACCAGTTATCATTGACTTTCACCCTTGTTTTATAAAAGAAATATTTGAGGACTCCAAAGGGAAGGATATAATCTCAGAATGTAAAAATGGAAGAAATTTAGTGCTATGAAAAACTCAGCATACGTTTTTATTTTCCTCTCTCCTCACGACTGACACACATGAGAACTTTGTGGACTTTAAGAAGCGAGGACGGGAACAGCAGGGGACAGGGCCTGGCCAGCGTGTTTGTTTACGAGGATCCTCTGCTTTTTTCCGCAGGCATCTGCGTAGATCTAGCCGTATCCATGACGAGTCAGCCTGTGCTCTTTCCATGCACCTCAATTTTAAATTGTAGCTCTTTTATCATTTATCTCTGCTTCCTTTCTGTCTTTGTTTTTTCCCCCATAAGAGCCTCTGCTTTGCTCTGCTCCCTACTCCCTGCCCTGTATCTTAGAAAAAACATTTTTCGTCTCATAGCGCAGTAGCTAAGTGTGTCAGAGAGAGAGAGAAGGGGGGGGTGGTGAAGAATCTGCTGTCGGACAGGCGTTAAAAGCCCCTGATTGACGCAGATGCAAAAAAAGAAGGACTGGACAGCATATTTGAAATCTCAACGGACTTGTTTCTAAGAGGAGCAGACATTTACTCCTGCTAAGCTGCCCTTTGCCTCCTTGGAAGCTTTGGCACGGAATGGAGAGTGGGGAAGCCTTCAGGCCCTGCCTCTCATTCAGGATTTCTCCAAGTAGAACCTGGAAGCCCTGTTAAAATGCTGTAAGGAAAAAGGTAGGAGGCTTGTGAAAATCCAAATGTTTAGACAATCGAGTAGAAGCCTAGGGACGGTAAAGAAAGAACAGCTCTCAGGCAACGGGGGGTTGGGATAGTTTAAAGTGAAAGAGGAGGCCTGATTTCCAGTCTTAGCTGTGTCACCTTGAGCAAGTCTTTTCCTCTCTTGGGCCTTTGGGAAATGAAAATATTGGCTTATGAGGAGGATTAGGATTCCTTTTCAAGTTAGCTTGAAGATTCTGATATATTTTAGGTAAATGCTGGAAGGAGTTGGCAAGAAATAGTGAAGACATAGCACCTTTGCCCCACCTCGTAGAATAATGAATCAGCTTTGTTCTAGGACATATAACAATCCTTGAGAATGACAGGTCATCAGTAAGAAGATGCCTCACCTTTATAAAATACAACGACCTTGTACATTGGCACAGACGAGGAACATTAACTAGTTTGAACAGAGCACAGCAATATCATAAATGGTCATTGCATTGCATTTTGCCTTACAGTTTTGAAAAAGCTGAGCCTGTATTAAAAACTATACCCATCATTTAAAACTAGCAGTTAGACTAGAGCCTGACTTGGACGTGAAACTCAAAAGAAGCTGCCATAACCTTTCCCCAAATTTCTTCTCTCCCTACTATGAGATACCTGAAATTCCAACATTCATTCCTCTGGTTTTGAGCCTTAGGATGGCAAACACCAGCGGAGAAGGTACAGACAAAGCCACCTGGCCCCTTCCCAGCCTTTCTATCCAATATGAACACATTTCATACTATTTTTCTCCTCCTGGGCCCCATTTTTTGAAAGAACTGGTCTATCAAGCAAACGTTACTTATTCAATAATAATTTTTCCCCCTCCAATTTTTAAAATACTTATCAACGATCTCTGCTTGCCAATCTGAATTTCTTTCATGACAACACAATTACCCAATTGATGTAAATCTACCCACAAGCAAAGAAATCTACTCCCTTGTACATTAGTGACCTTGTACATTAGCACAGACAAGGAACATTAACTAGTTTGAACAGAGCACAGCAATATCATAAATGGTCATTGCATTGCATTTTGCCTTACAGTTTTGAAAAAGCTGAGCCTGTATTACAAACTATACCCTGTGCAGGCTTTTAGTGGTTAACAGTATAATCATTAACATTAGGCTTTTTGAGTCATTGAAAACAGCTTACAAATTCCCTTCCTCACCAGCTCCACCCTTGTCATCACCATCATCATGATTACTTACCTGAACCTATTAGCCAGGGGTCAAATTCTTACAGGGGTCAAGCAAATCAGTGAGTAAAGCAGGTTACCTATGATAAAAGGGAGTAGTGAGTACTGTAGCAGATAGAGAGCACATTTGTGTCAAAAAGAGGGGCTAACATTTATCATCTGATTTTTTAAAGAAGTAAAAAATCTGGGTTTTTATGTGTAATTCTCCTAATTAATTTTTTTTAATCCTATATATCTAGGAGTAGATAAATCCTCTCACCCCAATATGTACCGTTCTCTGTTAGATAAGTTACAACCCAGTGTTGACTTGGGCTTTCATCGTCTCATGGAGATTTTTGTGACACAGCTCTAGTAGTTTTCACTTATAGCCTCCTCTCCCCCAAAGCTCAGGCAGGATGGCAAGGAACTAAGAAGACAGTCAGTTATACTATGCTGAGGACTTTATCTGCAATTTGATCCTATAAGCCACCCTCTGAAGAGGTCACGATTGTCCCAACTTTGACGATGAGAACACTTGGGCTCAGAATGCTTAGCTAATTTACAGACAGACTAAACTGGGATTCATATCAGGCTAATCCAAAGCCTGGGGACTGGAGTAGGTGCTAAAATAGCTCAGAAGGGGTAAAGGTTGAATAATAAAGACAAATTCCACCTCTCTTACAATTTGCCAAGAGTGATGTCAGGATGAATCCTACTTCTAGTGGCCTGCAGATAATTTATTTTAGTCAGTAAAGGGGAATTTAAAATAATCCTAGTTGAAGAGCGTTTTGAAAATGTTACAACACTCCCTGAGATGATTTGACATATCTGAAGTGTTGCAGAGTTAGAGCTGAGAATTACTGCCCTAAATATTTTCTTGTCCTTCTGATGATAATAATCACCAAAGGGATTGCATAGATAATTTCTTATTGTTACAACAACCTCAAAAGGTAGGTGTTGGAATCCCCATTTTGTAGATGATGAAACGGAGGGTTACAGAAACAAAAGAACTTGCTCAAACGCACACAACTAGCATGAGGTGCAACTGGGACTCAAACCCAGGTTGGCCTTACCCTACAGTCCCTGCTCCCTCCTCTACACTGCACCGTCCTGGGCCGAGGGGGTGGGGGTAGGAGCACTGGAATGTGATGGAGAGCCTTTTACCGCCTTGGGGGGTTTCAGGGTTGTGGCAGAGATGTTTATCGTTCACTGAATGTCCTAGAGCTCTTCATATTTCCCTGTCTCCTACGGTCCATGTGACGAATTCTGGTCAAGGGGCTATGGACAGAACTAATGGTGTCACTTCTGGGCAAAGCAAAGGGGGATGGGTGCATGTTCCTTAGGTGCTTTCTTCCCCTGACATGGCAACCATGGAGAGACACTGGGGAGGAAGTGAGAAATAGACCCTTGTGTAAGCCACTAGATTTTAGGGTTAACCTATTACTGCAGAATAACTTAGCCTAGCCTGACTAATGCATGCGTCTTCATGATAATAAGAATTCAGGAGAAAATTTCATCTAGTTTCATGAAGGACTGCTTAATTTCAGGAGCAAATTCATAATAACCCCTGCCCCTCCCATCAGGGACCCTGAGTCATATAAAATGCTGAATAACCTGCAATAAATTAATGTTTTTCCCTTTGAATAGACTTAAATGTATTGACAACGTATCTTTAAAAAAATACGGCCGCAGTAGTGCAAGCCAGAAAAAATTAATTTGTCTCATTTTATTAAAAAATTATACTTAATTGTCCTTAATCTCATGCCAGTAACTAAGAAAACAAAAACCTATTTGGTAATCACAGATTCGTTAACACTCAGCTCATCTTTTCTCAAGAGCCTATCTCTGTAATATCAAGGTTGTTATGAAGCAAACAACTTACATCATGGGTAGTTTTCGTTTCCATAGTACTGAAAAACCTGGAGGGAACAACTGCAAGTTCTCAGAGAATTGTGTATATATTAAGAAGATAATTGAAGATCTGGTGTAGGTTCTTACAGTAAAGTGTTGCTACGGAAACCCATAAATTATTTGTTTTTATTTCTTTGATAGCAACAACAGTGGCAGCCTCTGTT